GGGGGGGGGGGGTTACCTTGGTTGGTGATGCCAAAAAATCGTTATGACATCATAAAGCGGCCAAAATCTGATCAGCTCATTTTCAGACAGGTTTTTATATAAATGGATCAGGACAAAAAGAGAGGGGGTCTTTGTTCCTGAAACTTTCAGAGTCTCTTTACACAGAGGGGACACATGTTGATGTAGAAGAGACATGAAGAAGAGGGGACACATGTTGATGTAGAAGAGACATGAAGAAGTGGATTTTGCATAATAGGTGACCTTTGAGTAAAAGTACCAGGGGCCTCATTTATAAAGCCTTGCGTAGGATTGGCGTGGGAAGGTTGCTTACGTAGGACAAAGCAAATAAATACGCACCGACACTTTCCGATTCATAAAAGACTGCGTACGGCACATCCTACGCCGGTTTCCCTTTATAAATCACAATCGACTCAAAATGCGGGGCAGCTTTTGCGGGCTTCACGTAACGCCCATATTTGCCTATAACTAATCAAATAAACGGCCATTCATTCATTTTGACTGACTGCATGGAGAAGATCGCAGGAAATGACGACAGAACAGCTAAAAAAAACATCTCACACCGTGTCAGATTTTGATTATTTTGGGGAGGTGGAGATAAATCATATTGTTTGGTGGATGCAGTTTGAACGAGAGTAGCAGCATGGAGAAAATAAATAAATAAGTGGTCCGAAAAAGGTTAGTGACAAAAAAAATGTTTGTANAAATACAACTAATGTGTTGTGTTATATTAGCTGTACAATTTACCACATATGGTGTTCTTAGTTTCCATACCTCCTGTGTTTAACGAGCGACTTATCAAGTCTTGGCGAACGGCATAAAACATGATTAAACATGATAGTATATAAACCATGCTCGTATCTACAACCTATAGAAATGCAAAACGGCGTCAGTTTAAAGTAATTCTGTCCTCCTGCTTACCGCATCATTTATGAGAATACATTTCGAGAACATAATCGAGGGTGATCAATAACATTTCCGTATTTATTTATTTCTCCAAGTTATGTTTTTGTGTGCACTGAGGAGTCTCAAACAGGCGTTTGTTAAAGGGAACCTATCATGCTATATTTGAATAATATATTGTAGGGCCATACCTATATAAGGTATATTTATAAGTTTTATTTGTCAAAATACCAAACAGATCATGCATTTTAGCCATGCCTCATTGTGCCTCACTCCAGCTCTGTCTTTGCATGAGCTGGAGCTGACCCCCCCCCTTCCAGGAAGCAATAAGCTTGGAGGGGGCGAGGCACAAGCGTCATGTTACTATGCTGTTGCCATGCTGTTGCTATGCTGTTGCCATGCCACGGCAACCTCTCATTCCCCTGATAGGTGGAGAGTTGACCATACAGGCGGAGTGCACCTCTGTGACATCATAGAGGTGCAAATCAGAATCCACATGTATCAAATCCGTTGCAGCCCCGTTTTTAGAGATTTGGGTATGGAGGAAAAGAGAGAGGGTTGTATTTTCTGACACTTGGTGAGTTCCCTGGAACACCAGGGACACATATTCATGTATAAAAGACGTACAAAAGTGCATTTTGCATGATAGGTCCCCTTTAAATCATTTTAAGATTGGCTTTAATCAATTTGTGAAAATGTATTCTTCATATATGATAAATGAGAGGTAACATTTTATTTATGGTATTATTTCCACATATTTCTCTCCATTCTTCCTTCTACCAACGGTGTCGCAGTTTCTCGTCTCTCCCGTTTTTGTGCTTAGTGCGTACGCATGGGTCAGAGTTTGCGTGGAGGACCGAACATTTTCCCATCAAGTTAGTTTTTTATAAATCGCAAACAGTGCGTAGAAACTGGCGTACGCCATCTTTTCTGCGTACGCACCGTTTCTAAATGAAGCCCCAGAGCTTAGGAATACTCTGTTACAGCCAGGTAAAAGTCCTGCATTCAAAATGTTAATCTAGTAAAAGTGCAAAAGTATTAGCATCAAAATAAACCGGTTTTGAATGAATGTACTTTACACCAATGCTGGGATGTGACTGAATCAGGGGAACAGAGAGAGGGCAGATGGACGGATAATGTCACACGCATCTCACCAGGTTCTCAGGGCTGTGCAGCTCGTGTGTGGTGGAGGCACAGCGGGTGATGAGGGACTTGAACATGCAGCCCACCACCACCGCCTCCATGTTCTGGGCAACGGACTTGTTGTCCCCCGTGGTGAAGTTGTTCCCGAAGCCGGCCTTGTCTGGATCACACAGGGGGTGGTTTAGTCAGCAGGGTAGGGGGGGCATTATTGACAGCTGACCAGCTTGAGTTCAAAACAGTGATGGTACAACAGGGAGGGAAAGGAGAGGGGGTGGGGCAAAGAAAAAGGGTCCATAAAGCAAGTGGGGGAGAAGCAAACTGAAAAGGATTCTGGGTAGGGGATAAGGGAGGCATGCAAGTGACTAAGGCCTGCCAGGGCTCCCACACTTTCATAGACACCAAATTCAAGGACCTCCAGGACCAATGAATTCAAATTCAAGGACCCAACATGGCATAATTCGAGACAAGAATCACGGGTAATTAAAGTTCCAACACCGATAGTTTTAATAATGAGAACGAGCACGCTTACAGAAGCTCACAGACAACAATTAAAAAGAGATAGAGGCCACTTGTTTGCTGTGTTAGAGTGATGGCAGACTATGTGCTCTCATGTGTACTAAACAATTGATCATCAAATCAAAATAGTGTACATTAAATATATTGCTGAATAATAGAGTACTTAGTACTAATTACATTTCTACTTTCTTCAAAAAAACATAATATTCTTGATTCCAAAGATGCAGGTCTATGCGTGTGTGTTTTTTAAAACATTTTCAAGGCCGTGAATCACTCCAACTATTTTTTGTTTTTTATCGAAAATGATCAAAGCCTGGACTTCCCTTTATAATTTACAAACGTTTAAACATTTCAAGGACCTGTGGGAACCATGGCTTGCTATAAAAACAAAGCGTATGGGATTATTCTCTTGGTCCAGTTAACCTTATTGTCAATGCAAAATATAAAAGCTCTACATTTAGTTGCAGGTGAGTTGTGTAACTGAGAGAGTGAGGGGTGCAGCGATGGAAGCGGTGCCTAGGGAAGGGTCTGCCCAGGTGAGCATATTCAGCTATTATTATTACTATTGTAATTATTGTTATGGATCATGTGTATCTACCAATGTTTCTTTTTTTCGCCCTCCTGGACCTCTCACCTGCACTGCCGTACTCTGCAAGAGAAAAGAGGCGGGGCACAAGTTGATTGACATCAGGCCAGCACAGACATGTCAGAGAGGACGTAGGCACCCCACCCCCCGGGAGGAGGTGAACCTCGAGACGCACACACACAGATTGCCACACGCAAAAAACAACACACACACTGAGAAACTAAAGGGTGCCTTGTTCACTTTGAGAATAAAAACAGTCATCGGTTCAGTAACTTGCCAAGTATTTTTGTATGCTTTGATTTGTGCTGATTGTATTGACCGTGAATTGGCACGTGCGTCTCAATGCTCAGCAAGAAAGCCACTGATTGAGCAGAGATGTAATGGGCAAAGCTTTGGATTGGCAAGTGTACAGAATGGATGAGTGAGTAAGGAAGGAAGGTAGGATTCAGCTCATTGAAGTGGATGAGGAAAAAGGAGGGAGATGGAAGCAGGAGGACAAAAAGGGGACACAGACAAGCAGAGGCGAGTGGAAGGAGGAAGGGAAGAAACAGATATATAAACAGTGAGAGTGCAGGAATGCAAAGTCGAAGTGCTTGGTGAGGCAGTGGCAATAGAATTCAGCTTTGTCGACCACATTAGAACGGGGTTATTAACTTTTATTATATGCAACTTTGTAATGTAGAACCCATTACCTTTTAGTGGAATATAGATTTAAATGTATATAATAAAAATTGTATATTTTACATTCTGCTTTAGTGTTGTTCACAGTAGTGCTGAAACTATACTATTTTATGTGGGTCTTTTTAGGACAGTGCACGTTAATACACATTTGTGTTAATGATAAGAGGCTATTTTTTGTATCTTAACTATTAATTTACAACTATTTTGAAAATGCAATAATTGTTCAAACGATTTTTTTCTTTGTTTACTGGCAAACGCAAAACATATTGATAGTTTTGCAGGTATAACCACACTGCTAATTAGCACGCTAACACCCTTTACAAAGAAGATGCTAACGTTATAAGTGTGACACAGCAGGCCCACTTTTACAGCTTATTGATGAACTGCTTGATTGAAATGATCATTTTCATATTCATCTTAAAGTTAGTTGCTGTCCTTCTGCACAGAATATGTAATGTTGTTCAGTACTATTCATAACTTTAATTGTATCAGCATTCAAAATGTCAATGTCACTCAAACCCGGATACACAGTGTTTGCGCATTACCTATGAGCGCATATCTTAGATCGTGTATTGCGATCTGCATCTGGGTCCACTCACACACACACCACCATACTTACTGTCGGTAATGGGCTCCATACAGAAGCCCAGCAGTGCGTGCAGGAAGTCCACAATGTTATTGAGTGAGTCTTTGTTGACGTGCTCGCGCATTGTCTGTCGAAACTGCACCTTGTCCAGCTTATAAAGGCTGGTCAGGCAGTTCTGAGCCTGTGAGGAAAACATAGGAACACAAAATAATCAATACAAAACGATGACGTGTCAAACATTAAAGAAAATATGCTAATTTGTTAAAAACTGTACGCATGCAAAAAAGATCGGTTTCCTAGATTTTCTTATCATATTTGCGACTAGGTGACTGTGGGTGCAGCGTGATATGTGACACTTTGCATCTGGCTTATAAAGTTGGAGATGTCAGAGATTTTTCACAAAGTCTGCTTTCTTTTTCCATTTGGGAAATGTGCATTTGACGCATTGTGGCATTTAGTCCCCAGTCATACACAAACAATTGGACGAGGTTCGACTGTGAAACATCAGAGCTGTCTGCAAGCTGTGACGTACAGGCTGAGCCGCAGCTGGGCGTAGGAGTGTGTCCAGTCACACGCCATATTTCTTGCACTCTTAAACACTTTGGTCTCCTGCTCCAAATGCTACAATTGTTTTAAGAAAACAGAATAGTTTGGAAACAACTATATCTCCATACTCTTTTCTTTTTTCTATATTTATCACGACCTGGAAATATAATTTCTCTGCACGTGAAAAGGGTAGACGTCTGACCTGCATCCTGAGGCGATCTCCAGACAACCCGCGGTGCCCCTCCCCACAGCCGTAAGCACATCCCAGAGACTTCACTATCTTGATGAGCATGGTCAGAGCCAGTCGGTGCGGGCTGAAGCCAAAGCCTTCCTCCTGTTGCCATGGTGAAGGACACAAACATTAACCCACTTATAAATGTAAACATCTGCCAAGTATATCAAAAAGTACACACCTTTTTATCATTATCCTTGTTATTCTCCACATTGTCCTTGCTCCCCTGTCCACTCCCTCCTCCACCACTCCCCCCCCCTCCTCCACCACCACCACCTCCACCTCCGCCTCCATCTCCCCCTCCACCAGCTCCGGGAACGCCCCCCCCACCCTGGGCTCCTCCTCCCAGGCCTTGACCTGCTGCGTCTTTAGCTCGCGCCTCCTGGTTCTCCTTGTTGTCGGGCTTGGACATCTTCTTCCCAATGCAGGGCACCACGCCCAGCTGCAGCAGGCAGTCGATGATGTTGAGGGCCACGTCGCAGATCCTGGAGCTGATGTCGTGGCTGAGGACGGCGTAGAGAGCCCGCAAGACAGCCTGAAATACAAAGATGTTGTTTGTTGGGTCCAACCTACTGTGCAAAACCTAAATCTTCTAATTCAAAATACAAATCAAGAGGAACAAAGTAAAAAAAACTACTAGAAAGCAAACTGTGAAGCCTCTGTAAGTCAAAGACCAGCAGTGCCTTCTTCACCATCAGCAGCCAAATGTATTAAAATATTTGTGTTGTATTATTTTTAATATTCAAAGTATTAATCGGCAAAAAACATGTTTGACATTTTATACAATTTCTATCATGAAAACTGAGAGTAAGGGTCAACACTTTCAGTTTGGATGCCTACTGGTGTCCTTGCTGCTTAGTAGAATCATTATAATTATATTAGCAGCAGGGACAATTTACTATGGCTTTCATTGAATTAACAGACACTCACAGAGAGGTCCAGCATGCCGTTCTTCAGCACAAAGTTATTGGTCCCCTCGATGTTCTCCCCTTCCTCCAGACATGAGTAGTTGATGCAGGAGTCGGTGAAGCTGCGCGGCAGGTTGGCACAGGCCAGCGGCTCCACTGGGTTCTCGGAGACGGTGGCGGGGTTACAGAGCTTCTTCATGTGCTCCGTGAAGAAGTCGGCGTATCCAACGTTGAAGGATGCCACCGTGGTGTTGAACGCCGCCATAGTGATGGTGGAGATCTGGGATCGAACTGTGGGTGGCAAAAGAAAGTATTTTCTAAATATCATGTCAGAATCACCTCTCTTGCATCATCTTTTGCTGTCTGCTAATGTAATAGTGTTAATGGGATGCAGTGTGGAACAGAGGCTGAAGCCCACACTGTTTTTGTTATATGTAAATTAGCTTTGACACAGGAACATTACTGTTATATAACCCTGTTCTATTTCGGCTCAGCAGGTCTCAGTGGAGCCAGCAGCATCTTTTGTTTATTGTAGCTGATGGATAGTTATTCCAATATTGTTTTCATCTTACAGCACTTTGTTCTTCTTGGTATTTTTGTATAAAAAAATACTTAAATTATTCTTAAAATGGCAGCCTCTTGGAGGTAAAAAGTTCAATACCCTATATGTCAAAGTGAGGGATATATAAAGAATTCCTTTTGAATAAACCTGGTCTGTTACGTACTGTATTATTTAGCACTGTGGCTTAAGCTTATTTTGCTTGTTAACAACTTCCTTCTTAATGATCTTAACCAAAGGAAAAAAATACCTAATATAGTGCACACTGAAAGTGATATAGACTTTTGTTTGGCTAAAAAATTAAATATTTCTGGTTCTCCTGTCTGTTTCTCCAAACTAGGGTCACGCCTATTAAAAAATACCTCACACAACCCCACCTGAAAACATTGGAACCCCCCTTTGAGATCAGAGTTAACCACAGGTCTGCCTTCTCCTTACCCTCTTTGACGGTGTTATCGCTGTGGCTGTTGGAGTGGTCGGGCATGTCTCTGAGCAGCGAGTGGTGGGAGTGAGAGTGTTTGGCACTCAGGCTGTCGGCGTCCGCAGCTGTGTCTGTGCTGCCCCTCCGTGTGAATTTGCCTGGAAAGTGACACGGATATCATATCAGGTTCAATCAAACACATGCCAGCTGACTGTTGTAGACTTTCTCCTCCCTTCATGCATTTTTCCTGCATCAGCTGGGCATTTCATCCTGGGAATGTAGCTGAGTAGAAGCTAAGCTAAGTGGATATATAAAACTACAGTAACAGTATGGGGTTGATGGAAATGAGGCTTTTAAAAGTCTAACTTAATAATAATTATCTTAATTATCAGTTTACATAAAAATAGGATGAGAAATGAAACTGTCTTGTTATCTGAACATGGACTTGTAGGAATTTATTTTGTATTTGTTTGACTTTAATATTTGATTTTCACCCCGGAAATGGGTGTATGTATGTATGTATGTATGTATATGTGTACATATGTATGTGTATGTATATATATATGATTGTGTTTATCTGTGTGGGTATTTAGTTACGGAATTATATATGTTTTACTTTATGCTGCAACAGGATGACTAACGGGAGGGCTACTTCTGTATAAGCTATTCTTTCTGCCCTCCCACTTCTACTAATTTTGTTTGTTTTTTGGATGTATAAACTGTCTAATTGTTGAAATAGTAGAATAAATAAATAAATAAACAATAACTCTGAATAGTGTCTTTGTGCCTTGAGCAAATTGCAATCGCTCCTCTCAGAGAAGAAAGCTAATAAGAAATACCACTGTTAATGAACTGACCTAATTCACTAGCTGACAGCGTGATCCAGACAAAATCCTCTGACTCACCGGATGGGAGCTCGGGGGAGAGGAAGCAGAGACTTCCAACTGGTGACATGAAATCTATTCTGATAATGAACAGCACTCTGCCTACCCATGATGGTGGCCTGCCAGCCCCCGCGTTCCAGAGCCCGCCGATCGTCGCCCAGGCCTGAGAAGCTCCCGAAGGAGAAGGTGCTGCGGGTCGGGGAGACGTCCAGGTGGTCCTCGTGGAGCAGGAAGGGAACCCCCATACGCCGCTGACGCTTCTTCCCAGCTTGATGGTAGGGTATTGAGCCCTTTCTCTCACGGTCATCACGCCGGTTCTTGAACTTAGACACAACAGGAAGAGAAGGCTTGACAGTCAGAACTGCAATCCTCCCAGTTCTGCAATGCAATTGCAAACGTGTGTTTTTAGTTATTGTTCAACCAAGGAGTTTGATGTCGAAAATGAATCATCATGTCTTGAACCCTGACTCACACTGCCTTACCTGTCCTGATGCTCATCTGATATTAACATGCAAAAGACACAATGAACAGAATAGCACGGGCCCATCTGTATGTCTGACCTTCTTGAAAATGTTCATGCCAAGGTCGGCGGAGATGTCAGGGACCGCCTGTCGACGGAGGCTGGTAAGAGAAACCTTCGTGAACGTCTCGGTGCTAAGAGATTTTCCCTCTTCGTTACATTTCAGGCTCATATCCTGCAAAACACAGCAGAGGGAAAATATGACTTGTGCACCGAATGATTGAATCTTTAGATGTGCACCATAACCAGACATTACAAACATGTAAAAACAATGATCTTCTTGCCACCACCTGAGTCTTGTGGGTGTTGACCAGTGAAGGTGTGGCGGCCACCATGGAGCTGCTGCGGGGCCGCGGCAGAGGTGTGACCAAGGGTTCCGGGGTGCGTTCGGGTCTCTCCTCCAGGATCTGCCTCAGGCGCTGCAGGTAGAACATGAGGGCCCAGTGCACGCCCTCTTCCGTCCAGTGTGGCTGCAGCAGGCAGCGCAGCACCGCAACGTCAAAGTAGGTGGCATAGCGCGCTCTTTGGGACAGGGAGGTGGGCAGGCCCGCAGGAGCAGAGGTCCTTTAAGAAGAGGGTTTGAGACAAGGGCGATTGGAGGTTTTTAAAGAGGCCATTATTTTACCGTGTGAACATTTTCGATTGCCTCCCACAAAGCAAAATGGAAAGTTGAAATAGAGAAAAGCGGAACATAATCCAATTAGTTAAATATGTTTTCCCATTGTATTATAATGGTCATGGAAGATATAGGACAAGTATCACCAACATGCCAACAGGTGGCGTAACTTTAAATATAAAAAGGTACTCAAAAGAAGTGATATCAAATCTGACAACTGTCATCAAAAGCTAAATAAGGGATCATGAAAAATGCTTCAAGGCAAAACAAGTTTGAGTATTTTGCATGCGTTTTAAGCCTTTCCATTAGTGACATAACAGTTACACTATGTCACGGCCTTTGCTGTTATATTAGCCTATCATCAACTCCCTCCACACTGCTTCATTAATAATGCATTAAATGAGGATGATAAACAAGGGCAGAGCCCCCCTTCAGCATCACTGTGGCGGAGAGAGCGGCAGCCTACGTGAGTCCACTATAAATAAGCCGGAATGAAGGTCAGCGGTTGGTGAGCAGCGGAGATCCACACACACACTGTGGAGAAACATATTGATATTGCGAGAGAGGGGGGGGGGGGGGACAGGGAGTAAGGCATTTAATCTTGGCCCTGGTGATAAATGGAGCAGGAAGCGACTGTCGATTTCTACATGAATCACTTTGAGAGCAGAGAGAGGCTGTATCATGTTACACTGTCTAGCCAACACACACACACACATACACTGCTGTTGTGTCAGGTTGCCAGGGGATACAGAGTGATGACAGCTATCGCCTCGAGCCCCTGCGAGAGGAAGCGGGCCCAGCCCCCCGACTCCATGCGGTAGCAGAGATGCAGCAGCAGCAGCAGCAGCCGGCGGTTGCCATGGAAACTGCCTCAGCATCAGCAGTGCTCTGAGTGGATGTGGCGGTGGCGGATGAGTAAGCCGCATTAATCACAGGAGCTGATGGCAGATATTATTTCCATCGGAGCAGGTGTGTGGAAGAGGAGGAGATATATTTATAAACTCTGACAAGGCCTGAAAAAAATACATTATTTGGATTTAGATTGGATCGAAATCCACTGTTTTGCAGCCTTCCCTCTTTGTGGATCCATACAGTGGGAACTTGAAAGCAGGAATGTCATTCCCTCTTGCACCCTCAAATGGCAAAATGCTCTCGCCATCTCATTTTTATTCAACTCACTTTCTGACCTTTGCAGCATTTGACACACACAGCTTACAGATTCCCCTCATCAACACTCCGAGAATTAATATGCGTGTGTGCTGAAACAATAGGGATAAATCTCTCTGTTACTGCATTACCATGGGACTGCTCCAAAACACCTTTGGTGTTTGAGTGTATGAGGATATAACTAGCTCAGGGGGGGGGGGCTTATTTTGATTTGCAGTCAGTTGCTGGCTGTCAGAGTGATCATGAGGAGCTTTTGGAGTGGCTTGTTTTGGTTGTCAGAACGAGTTGGGATGAGCAATGGAGGGCTTATCATCAATGTTCCCGCTGTGTGTCATATTCTGTCAACAAATTCAAACCAAGCAATCACGGATCACAAACATTAGATGTTAGAGGTATTAATAATACATCCCTTTTTAAGACTAACATTTTTTATTAACTGAATCTTGTTGGCTAAAACACTGAGGTTTTATGTCACAACATGATTAAGACAAACTCGCTCATGCTTTTATTTCAAGCTGGGTTCACTTTTATGCCTTCCTAAAAAAAGACTTCTAACAGCTTCAGCTTTTACAAAATGCAGCCGCTAGAGTTATTCAGAAACTAAAAGAAGCCAACTCATTACTCTGATACTTAAGTCCCGACGCTGGATTCATATACGGTAATTGACTTTAAAGCACTGCTGCTGGTTTACAAACCCCTAGATGTGGCTTTCATATACGTTTCAGATGCTACACTATGTTCATTAAGTTGATGAAAAACCCTCTTCCTTTTTAAACTTGTGTTTTCACTTGTGCTTTTAAATAGTTTTATATTGCTATGTTCAATGTTAACATACCCATGGGTACCCAGTGCGTGAATGATTTTGTACACTAGTCATATTTACAAACTGGTTAGATCTTTGAAAGCATCCTCATATTTATTCATTTTAGCTATAAAATGCTAATATATAGTGTTTCATATTGTCTGTATTTCTACCTCTATAGTGTATTCAATATTTATACAACTGTTCATAGTGTTTATTCCTATTAATACTGTATTAATATCTGTCATATTAATATACTTATATTATACCTATACAGTATATTACGCTGCTTCTCTTGCACTTCTGGTTAGATGCTAACTGCATTTCGTGGACCCAGCACTTTCTGTAATGACAATCACATTGAATCTAATCTAATCAAGTCTAAGATGCAGCCCTGTAAATCACTTTCATTCGCCGTTGTGTGGGAATAAACTTGCCTTGCCTTATGGATAGTCTTTGATTCTTATTCCCCTTGCGGTCAAACGGGCCTTATCTGTGCCAAAGCGAGCACAGATTGAAGCTTAGTCGTGGGCTAGACAAACTGAAGCCAGGCCAGGCCAGGGACAGTGCCAGCATCAGACATGTAGCACATTCATTCAGCTTAATTACCCCTGATTTTGTAGACAAACGTCAGCTGGGTCTGCTGATGCTCGAGCGAGACAGGGTGTGTGCTGACGGAGGAGACAGCGCTGCTCAGAGCTACATTACACAGGGGAAGGAGGAGCTCTTCATATGTATTAAAGCTAGCTCTCGCAGGCTGGTGGAGCGAGCTGTGCTGCGACAGACGCCGCTGCGGGGCTAAATGTTTTGCTATCAACAAGATGATGGCACCGGCTCTGTGTCAGCGTGGGTCACTGCTTCAACCCGCCACTGGCTTCTTGGGGACATCGCAGACACATTATTCATACAGAGGAGGTTTTGTAAAAATAGTGAACTCTCTCTTACGCTGCCTTTTATACAATTAGATAACTGTCTATATTGACATTGCACTGTTTATTCTTGTATTTAATACATACAATCTTCTTTTGCTTTAGCTTGTTCTTTTTATTTTATTTTTGCATTTTTGTCCAGCACTTTGAATCGCCTTGAAATACATGAATAAACTTGCCTTGCCTTTTAAATCTACAATAATAATAAATACAATTAAAACATTGAATAATTTGATGATACATATTGCGTGTCTCATATCTGTGTACATTAACAGCACATCATTTTGGTGCAGTTTAGGGATCAACACATATTTTGTAGGGCCCAAAAACCCCATAGGCAAGCTATTTAATAAGCCAATGCAGCACAAATGGTTATTTACATTAATACAAATTATTCAAACTGTCCCATGTTGTTCTGTCTGACAAAAGAAGAATTGTCCCATAAAGTGGGTTAGAAGTCCATCATCTTAACACTTCTACCTCGTCATATTAACATAACCCCAGAATCAAAATCAATAATGCCCACATGACCAATGCAACTGTCTCAATGGTGCTTACTTTTTCTTGGAAGGGCCTTTCACTGGTGGGGGTTGTTGGGAAGGCCCGCCTTTCTCGACCGAGTTACCACGACGACAGCTCCGCTCACCAGAAGCGGGGGAGGAGGAATCTGATTGGGCCGCCTCGCAAACCACCTGGAAGCCCTGTAGGCGGGAGGGGGAGATTGACAGAGTGTAGATGGCTGGATAAACAGGCAGGATAGGTGGACTTCCTGATAATTAAAAACTGTGAGGCTGGAGGGAGGTTTCTGTCATGACCCTGGCTAACCAAGCTAATGCTCCCGGATGGCTGGTGCTAATGAATATTGCCCCTAGAGGATGATGAAAAGGGGGGAGGAGATGAAGCCTTCAACACATTCAATCATCATGGGGCTCAAGACGAGTTATGAGCTAAAAACGCTCACTCACCATGGGACCAGGGTTGCCAGATCCACAGGGGCTGCACTGGTTGTTGACTGGGGAGTTCCTCTTTGCTGTTGAGACAGGAATTACATGTCCTTATTATGAACAAACAAATGCAGATTACATACGGTCTATATGGCTGTCAGCAAGGATTTTTTCAAACCTGTCACAATGTTTCTGACTGGTTTTATGAGTGCAGTAAAGGCAGAGATGTCAGGCTGGCGGTGCTCCCACATTGGCTGCCATATCACCAGACCGCTGGCCAATCGGAAGGTCAGATCTGACTCCTTAAAATAAATGGAAAAAATAGCATTCATCTAAAAGTTCATACTGCAATTTAAATTCATTGTGCATCCCAAGTGTTCTGCTAATACGATACAATCAATTACAAGACAGTAATTCATTGCTCAGCTGGGAAACACAATGCAGTCCCATGAGTATTGTAACCTGACCATTGTTTCTGATTACACACACAGATCAATAGCTATAGGGTGACCCTGAATATATGTGTGTCAATATAGATCATATTAGAATAGAGCTGCTCTAAAAATCTTTAAAATACATTTTTGACCCGGGGAAGTAATCCTTTGCACATCAGAAAAGGCTAAACAATGCAGTAATAATGGATGGTATGAACTGTGTATGTTTCTTTAATCCTTCAATAGTCTGTTCTTATGTTGTAAACCTTTATGTCTGCAGGTACACACCTTTATGCGATGAATAAGCGGAGCAAACAGGAACACAAACAGCTCCACCGTGGCCATGCTCTTGTGGAACAGCTTGGTACGGGCGTGCTCGTCCTCTTCCGGCAGGGAGCCGCTGTGCTGGGGCCCCGACCCCCCTAGGGCAGAGCCGGAGCATGAGCCGGGGGCCCCTGGAGAAGATCCCTGGTTGCCCATGGGCTGGAGGAAGGCGCTGCTGCTGCTGCCCGCGGACCAGCCGTGGCCCAGGCTGGGCTCGTGGTTGCACTCCTGGGCGGCGTCCAGCAGCATCCAGTGCAGCGTGTGGAGCAGCTTCGTCTCCGCCACGCCCAGCTTGTCCTGGTGGCCTGTCAGTCAGAGGTCAGGGGTTAACTCAGACTGCTGTGTTGCACTTAGTGTATATTATCCTCTATAAGTTTGGGGGATTTTAAAGACCAAAAAACTGAAATCCAATTCAATGACAGTACAAATATGCAGAGGCATATTTGTACTGTCATTGGGAAGACCCAGGATTATGATGTTTGAAAATGGGTCATGGAAATAATACAGACCTGCAGATACTTTATGATAATGGAGGTCATTTTAATATAATACATTCTCCATACGTAGAATAGATAGACCTAGTTGGAATTGCAGGTTTATATGCATTTACTGTAAATCATTTGCAATATATTAGACTGAAGCCTAATTTTTCACATTAACAACATATAATATTATAAATTGTCTTGCAGACGCTGAGGTTATCCAGAAAAGCATTTAATTCGAATAAACAAGTGAATTATATGTCTGATAATCCAGTCCTGTGATGTATTCAGGCTGTTGTGCAACTTCCCTGTGACCGAAGGAACATCCGTTTTTTGTTCAGTTGAATGAGGATACCCTGGATAACACTGTCAACTCAATTCCTAAAGTGCAGGTAACGTGTGTGTTGTGTGTCCTCACCCAGCCTGTTCCTGTTGGACAGCAGGATGGAGGTGCAGTGGAGGACATGAGGCAGCGCTGCCTGCACCAGCTCCCAGCGGGAGATGCTCTGGATGGCATCTGACAGGGCCGGCGACAGCCCGTGGAGCTTATTCTCCACCAGCACCCGCTCAAAGGACTGGGGAGGCAGCCAGAGAGAAAGAAAACAGAGACATCAGCCAGGAATGAAAGCCTCTCTCTTTGACTATCTAAAGGCCCCACATGGCCCCAAGCACTGCAAAGCCTGTGGGAGAGACAGAGGCAGCTCTGTTTAGATCCAAGGGGATCTGGAGAAACGTCATTATGGATATGAGTTTCCAAAGGTCTGGCTCTGGGGTAATAGGAGGAAGCAAGGGGAAAAACTAATTTGCTAAATGCAGAATCAAGAGCCCACTTGATTTGCAGGTGCATTAAGGTAAAAACAGATTACCGGGAATGAGAGTGATTATTTTCCCTCACCACGAACATGGCATTATGAAATAACTTACCACACAAGATGCTTCATACTGTTTCCCCAACTTTGGACGTAGAAATGCACTGAAAACACACAGAGAACATCCTTATATAACATTCTCAAATCATATATGTGGACTACACAATTACATATAAAATGTCAAATTGTATTTCTATAACTCAATATACCCAGGATCACATTTAGTTGTATTGTTTTGGCCCGCTTTCTGTTTTTGCATTACAGGTGTGTGACATCATGCAATCCGTTTCCACTCACAGTTAACCCCTTGCAAAAAACAGGAGCCCACCTCCCTCCATTTAAAGCATTCAATGCAACTGACACACTCAATGGCACGGATTAAATTATAATAGATCTATGTTCACGCTTACTAGGATAACAACGTGTACGTGTCCTTTCATGTCACAGCTGCTGTCAAATGCTTGATCCCTATTCTAGGCAAGCAAACACCTGTTATCAATTCCACACTAACCTGGTCTGCCTCCATAGGAAGGTCTGGATGGGGAACGGTATTCCTTTCCCGCACTCCGGCTCGTTTTCGTCCAGGCTCTTCCTCTTCACCATCTTGGCCGGTCCTGCCTGCCTGCCTGTCTGCCTGCCTGTCTGCCCGCCTGTGTGCAACCACCGGCGGCTGCTGGCTGTGCCCAGGTGACCAGCGATCTTCCCTCACGACATGATTGGGTTCATCCTGCGTAAAATGGCTGCAAGTGTCGGTCGATCGGCGGCAATAGAGGGGCTGAGAAAGAGAGAGAGAGAGAGAGAGAGAGAGAGAGAGAGAGAA